AGTCGTGTATTCTACATAACAAAGGATCATAGTAGATACACCATAGGAGAGGAGATATAATTTCACCTTGATCGATACCAGACATAACTTTGTATGGGTCAGTATTCCCGAAGAAAGTGAAGACCTGGTTGAAATGATTTCCAAATATTTTGAGGATGAATCTAATAAAGTTAAAAGGGATGCAAAGCTGTTCAAGTGCTCTTACAAGCATGAACAAGTTTACTCGATCATAAGTTTTGGACATATCCTGCGACAGTAACTAGAGATTTTTGTTGTTCGTAATAGCATCGAATTTAATGTTATCCACTATACGAAGTGGTTCGAAAGTCAATTTATAAGGAAGCCCAGCGAAGTTGAGCCCTTTAAGTACATTATGTTGAATGATAGTTGTTGACAGACGCCAATTGAGTAACTTAATAAGCGCTTTCCGAGGGCATTCTAAAAGTGTGATAGGTCTGGTGTTATTAAGGTCATACTCCCATGGTTTCGATTTTGGTATTGGGTAGACAAATGCCATATTCCACCGATATGGAAGAGTCGACTCTGATAGACAATATCGAATAATAAACCAAAGTAATTTATTTGTATGCTGACCAAGGTGTTTTAATATTTCGTTCGATACTTTGGAAGGACCGGAAGCCTTTCCGTTTGGTAATGTAGCAAGGATGTTGCACTATTCCTCAGCCGTGGGTGGGGTCATGAGTCCATCATATATAGAGCTGTTGATATCATCAAGCGGTTGATAAAAGGAAGTCCACTTGTTTGGGATATCCATATTCTCATGAAAAGTGCCAGCAGCCAACTGGAAATGCTGATTAACTCTTTTTTGACAAATGTTTCATCTGTTAGAAGATCACGTGATTCGGACATATCATTGAGACATCTATCTAAAACAATTGTCTTTCTTGAACGATTAAGTACTGAATCGATCATTTGAGATGGAGCGACCGCATAATTGTCCAACCTGCTCTCTATCACTTATTGTATGGATTTCAACTTAAATTCTTGTTCATAGAGTTTGGTTTTAATTAAGAGACAATTAAGTATTATTTTGATGCATGAGAACAATGATCTAAGAAGTAACGTGTTCGGTGTAGGGGTAATGCAATCAGATAAAATCCAAAAATGTTGGAGATCTCGTGAAATCTGATGTAAATTATAGACCAATTCTCAGGTAACTTATCTGACTTGCACGCTGTCTTGATTTTCTTCTTGAACTTATATAAGAATCTAGAGTTTTATACAGTTTGGTCAACAAAGGAGGTTTCTTTAGTTTATGTTGACCAGATGATTTATGTGATGGAATAATATTATCGGCAGCTTTGATTATACAGGCTTACAACAAGTCCCAGTAGAAATTAAGTTTGGTCTGATTGAGTTTGTTATTGAAATTTAAGAGGCGCAGTTCACAACTGTTGGTAAGGGCATCCATTTTATCTTTGTATTCCTTCTAGAGATTATCAGTCATCTTATCGTAATCGTATACCATTTTTTTGGAATAATCCGTTTATTATTCTTGACATCGAGATAATTGTGTAAAGAACAAATTACAATTACGTGGTCAGAGATTTGTGGTAACACAGATACGGTATTACAAGTGTTAAAATTATAGACACATTCCGCTGAAGTCCAAATAAAATCGATGCGAGAAGTTGAAGTTGTCGATTTGAAAGTAGGATACTTGACCTAATCATTACTGTGTTTCAATATGCAAGCGTCAAACAAATGCAAATTTTGAAGCAATGAAAAAAATTCTTTTGCGCCCTTTAGGTTCTTATCTCGGTCAATATCAGCATTGAAATCCTCAGTTAAAATAATGTGAAAATCCTTGAAAATAGCATCATTGAGCAATTTTACTAATTCTTTTTGAACTAATTTTCTTGTTAAAATGTCGGATGGTGGTAAGTAACAGTTAATAAATCTTAATTTTTGTTTGTTGGTAAATTGGAAGTCGACATAAATAATTCTGTTGAGCAATTGTTGATGATGAAAGACGTGATTAGCCAGCAATGGTCATAGTAAAATACCTACGCCAAAGCCAGTTCAATGAGAAGATGATTCAGAACTGAAAAAGCCTATAAAGTTAGATGAGTGTTCAAAATTAAATGGTCGAATATGTTGTTGAAGGAAGTTGGTTTCTTGTAGACCAATAGTATCTAAATTTAACGAAAGATATTGTTCAATGAGAGAATGTTGTTTTGCAGTATTAGTGAAACTTCTGACATTGTGTAAGGCAAAAGATAAAAAAGGAGGAGGAGTTTGAATTAAAGGGGTTGTATTAGGAATTGATGCATCTTGTGCATTATTATCAGTAGGGACAGTGTTCATTAAAAAATTAATATTGCGGGAGGTCTTTGATCTAATGTTCAATATCAGTATTGAATGTTACACCAAGTGGAAAGATATTATTGGCCTGTTCTTGGGGGAGCAAATTATTTTTCAACAGTACATTTTGAAAAGCAGCGCACGATTGAACTAGAGTATTGACCGTCATAGTGAAGGACTTGAGACGGTTCTGATGTATAGCATTAATATTTCTGAGGCCTTCAATGGTCTTTTGTTATTTAAGAATGGTGGATGCAGATGAGTCGATAGTAGGTTCAACTTCCTCTTCCATTTCACCAGCATTAAGATTTTGTACGTCAGCTTCTACTAGAGTGATGACTTTAATATTGAGTGATTGTTCAATGGATTCAACTCTTTTAATTGTAAACGCTAAATTGCTCATTATGATACTCAAATTTTCATTAAGATTAATAAATTGGGATTTGACGTATTCTTTGAAATCATCATCATTGTTAGCATGCATAGATCCGCCTGCTTTGATACCTTATATACTGAGCCATTGGGTGTAGGACAAATAGTATTATCGAAAAGAATTTCTTCGTTCATGTTTGGTGGAATATCATCAGACTATGAATCAGATTGAGGATTTCGTTTGTTGTTGGAATGAGAATGTGTTTTGTTTTGGTTATTATTGTTGTTATGTGTATTGGTGTTATTATTATTATTATTTTTTTGTGGGGGAGATTGTTTCTTGATATTCGTAGTAAATGGTGATTTAGTGACATGGGCAAAAGTAATGTCTGGGTTTACTGCACCTCTCATCTTTTTAGGCGGGGCCTTATAGTTAGAGTATTGTGCCGGTTGAAATCTCTGATAAAGATTTTGCATGTTTCGATCAGCTGGAGATTTCTTACGTCGTGGACATCCATTAGCTTTATGGTTTGGTGATGAGCAAATAGCACAAAGCTTTGCTTTTGACTCGGTCCAAGTCATGTATTTGTCATCGATGGTAAGATTATCATTGAAAATCGCAGCTTCAAAATCGTCTGCATTGGCAAAATAGAAAAATGCGTGTTGTAAATTGTGGTAGTTGGAATGAGCTTTAGGGATAACCCAAGCAATAGCGTTGACCATTCTTCCTATCTCCTCAAGCTGTTTACCAGTCGTAAACCTAGGAAGACCGGCAAATTTTGCTGAAAATTTGGAACGTGCCAGAATATCTGATCGAGATTGATCACACATGTAGACTCTGACTATGTCGTTAAGTATGAAGAGACCATAGCAATCCTTTAGTCCCTTGAAATTAGCGTCTTCCGCAAAGGTAATAGTAGCCTGTTGCCACATATTCTTTTTTTTCATGGTGAAACAGATGATCATTCCGAATCGGGCAAATGTCATCTTGATCCTGTGTTCTGTAGAATCTAAGGGGATTTCAGTTATCCTGATCAACCTTGCAAGGACATATGGTTGTGTATGTACTACATTAAGGGTAAAAATGTGCGATTATCCAAATTGGGTAATTGGACTGAACAAGCATGTTCACGTTCTTTCTAGTTACGAAAGGAAATTTTGATGATACGTTGTGATTGGTCAGTTGGGTGTTTGGCTATTGTCACTCCTGAGAATGAATCGTATTTGTCAAAAAGCAAATCGATAACAGAAGAGACTTTTTGCTGCGGTGAAGTTCCTGGAAATTCTTCGAGAGGAAAATAACTGTAAAAAGAAGGCTTTTGATGCTTAAAAGCTTGTACTGAAGACGTATTTTTGTCCAAGAAGTTTTCTGACGCGTCAAAACTGGCGTCAACGTCGAGAGTAATGGTGGTTATTTCTGGAGTCTCTTCCAAAGTTTCTTTTTCTTGCCTTTGTTTGAAGGCGAAGGGTCGAGTTCCATGGACACTACTGGTTCTAAAGTCTCAATATTTTGTTGGGTTGGAGGAATATCCTCAGTTTGCGTAGTATTTTGTTTTTTGGCTTTTTGCATTGTTAAAGGAGAAGACAAATGTCCTCGTTGTTTTTGTTTTTGCTCGCTGTTTTTTTTAGTAATTTTTTAATGCGTTTTTATCTTTAAACTAAGATTATTATATAATTAGTAATCAATTTGATAATAGTATTTCAAAACTCACTTTTTTTAGGACCTATTCTTTTTCGATTACTTTTAATAGTATAATTATACTAATTATCAGTAATTGTATTAATTACCTTTATAGCAGAATTAAAATCTGATGTTGTCTTAACATGAGACTTAAAACTAAAGAGTAATAAGGATTGATTACAGATTTATATTAACTTTTCATAGGATTGTATGAATACTTCTGATATAATATTATCAGAAATGATACGTTTATCATCAATGCTGGTAAAGCCTAATATTTAAAAGAGTTTTTTATAGCTTTTTAATAATTTGCTAAATAAGATTTACACAAATCCTCTGTCACTGATTTTTCAGATTCTTTTCAGTTTTATAATGAGTATCTTTCTACTGCATAATATTTTTAGTCTCTAACCTCTTTATTACCTACTCTCTTCTCATTATAGTCTTACTTTCAAAAGTGAAATATTTGCAAGAAATATTTCTAAGATTCAGGTGAACTGAAATGTTTTACAAACTTATTATTGCAAAGATTATCCCAAATCTCATTGTTTATATCTTTATCACTATAAATATTTCATATATAGAAACGTTTAAGTGTTATAGTATCTTGAATAGAGTATTCTTAGTCAAATTTAAGATTTTCAGCTTCTTTAGAATTAAGATTTTGGGAAGTAGCAATCACATTAAAATCTGTTTCCTTAATAACTAATACTTTAACTTTAACCTTATTATAAATTCTTTTATAATTCCCTATAACTCTTTGGCTTTCATCCATTTTTATAAATTGAAGAGAAGCACTTGTACTAGTTATAAGATTGCATGATATTTCAATGAAATTTTTTATAAAAAGATGTTTCTGATGTTCAACTTCAAAGTATAATATTATGGCAGGTCAGTGTGTAAAATCTATGTGCACAATGTGCACATGTGCACATTAATTTTTTGTGTGCACATATTACACAACATAAA